GATGGATGCAAATTTTACATGAGGTTCAGTAAGATGGTTGGAAACCAATACTGGCAAGTTTCTAGTTTATTTGATGAGCATACATGTACTAAGACTGCATATAATATACAAGCCAAGACTGAACGGTTGGCCAAAAATTTTTCCCACATACTTAGACACTCCAAACATGAAACCAGTTGGGTTAATCATTGAATCAATTGAAGATGGGTCATGGGGTGTGAAATTGTTAGTTGATCAGGCATACAGGGATAAAAGAAGAGCATTGGAATTTATACAATGTGTTGGTAGGGACTAGTTTACTCACTTGAGGATTATGCACATGAGTTACTAAATTAAAACCCTAACAATAAAGTTGTGCTACAATGCTCTAAATCAGTGATGGTCATGTGTTTGAAAGAATCTATGTCTATCTACAAACATGTAAAGCTGGATTTTCTAAAAGTTGAAGACCATTAATAGGACTTGATGCATGTTTTTTGAAAGGGGACTATGGGGGCTAGTTGATGGAAGTTGTTGGAAGGGATGGGAATAATAAAATCTTTCCAATTTCCTATGGGGTTGTAGAGGATGGGACTAAGGATTCTTAGGAGTGGTTCATAAACCTTCTCATCGAGGACTTGCAATCCATTAATAATATACCGTATACTTTCATCTCTGACCAACAAAAGGTGATAAGCCTATATTCATGTGCTTTTTTAGACCTATATTTATTTCCTATTATTTTCTGATATGTCTTCATTTTCTATTAACATGGTCTTGTCCCACCAGTTCAGGGTATCAGTAAACATGTTGCTCAGAGGCTTTGTGTTAAGAATATGTATGGGAATTGGAAAAAGAAGTTCCCTGGGATAGATTTGAAGGAAACTACGTGGAGTGCAGCAAAGGCTACTATAATTCTAGCATGAGAGAGGGCAATGATTAGGATGAAAACTTTGAATGAGGCTTCCTGGAAAGATATAAAGGATGTACCTGCACATTTTCAGACCAAATCACACTTCAAGACCTATGTTAAGTGTGATCTACAAGTGAACAATATGTGTGAGGAATTTAACAGAGCTATCTTAGAGAATAGACACAAACCAATTATAACTTTGTTGGAGGGGATTAATTATTATCTCACTAAAAGAATTACAAGTCAGAAGGAAATGTTGTAGATCAAAAAACCATCAAAGGACTATGTAGGAAATGGGACTTGACTGAGATTCCTTGCAACCATGCTATCTCATGTTTTTGGAAAATAAAAAAAACCACTAGAGGACTATGTTTCTTATTATTACAAGCATGTTTCATATGGCTTATCATTATGTATTGTATTCATGTGTATCTCTGTTTCTGATTATTATGTTGTGTAACTGTGTGTAGGAAAACTATGTTTCTAGAGTGTTATTCAAACATCATCTACCCAAATAATGAACCACAACTCTGACTTGTAGATGGATAACTAGCAGTCAATCCATCATTGATGATAAGGGCAATTGGATGTCCCAAAAAATGAGGAACAATTCAAATGATGAGCCTAGAAATCCACATGTGATGCCTAGAAGTTTTGCCACAGTTACATGTCAAAAGTATGGAGAACTTGGTCATAACTTGAGGAGTTGCAAAGGAAAGAGAGCTGCAGATAGAGCCATACCAAAAGGTGGAAACAAAGCCAAAAAAGCAAAGACAGTCAATACCAAGACAAAAGACAAGACCAAGACAAAGGAAAAGACCAAGACAAAGACAACCATTGTAACTGAAATTGGCATTTCATCGAAGGGTTTACCTCTTACTCAACCAACTCAAGAATAGTTCTAAGATCAACAATTTGTTATTTTGTAATGTGTTTTTTTGTAATATCATGAACAAGTTTTTGTCTTTAACAAGCTTATGTTATTTTTCTATGTAAGTTTTCTGTCATTAACAAGCTGTTTGAAACTGTATGAAGCTGTTATTTTGTACTGTTATTTATGAAGTTGTTACTGAACAAATGTTTATGAACCAATGTTTATTTTGAACCAATGTTTATGTACCAATTTTGAACCATTGTTTATGAACAAATGCTACATTGTTAAACAAAACTTTGTCAAAAGATTCATTTTAACTGAACCAAAACAACAATTTCATTACAAAGATCTGGTACATCAAAATGTCAATTTCAACTGAACCAAAACAACAATTTCATTACAAAGATCTGTTACATCAAAATGTCAACACCAACTTAACCAAAACAACTACTTCATTACATTTGACAACACTAATCCTAATGCCAATATTGACACAACAAAGTTCATCATAAAGTTCATTAAATTCAACTTCATCTTCATATCTTCAACTTTGATATTGGCTTCATTTCGTTTTGTCTTTTCTTGATCCAATTTTTGGTGTAGTGAATTGATTAGTTCCTAGGCTCTTGCAGACATTTCCTCATCATATCATATAAAGTGGTTGCACCTTTTATACCCCCGCGGCTGGAATTAAATAACAAAAATAAAGGAATCTCAAAACATTGAACAAATACAGATTTTTCAAAACTGCAAATATGAAGATTACCTTGTACATACCACACCCAAAAAAATGGCGACCTGGGCTGGAATCGGTCCATTAAGTCATCAATGGAGCTTCGAGTCCACATCTGCATTTGTTTCAAAATGAACGACCGTGATTGATTGCTGGATTTCGAGCATTGAGACATCGTTACTTGTGTTGCTCGGGTTGAAACGAAAATCCAACAACGAAGGCTGATGAAGATGAAACAAAGCAGAAGCCTGAAAGCTAGGGTTTGTTTAAGAGGAAAAGGGACGAAACGAAGAAGATAACCTGAAAGCTAGGGTTTGTAATATGAAAACGATGAAGTGAACATCGAACGAAGTCAACTGCAGTAATTTTATAATTCTTAATTGAGTTTTTAATTCATAATAATAATAATATAAATATTAGTTTCAATTTTAAAATCATATTAATAATAAAAAAAATTAATATTTTATTAGTAATTACGTGACAATAAGTGGGTCAACTATTAAAGTGGCATGTCATTAAATTGACAGATAAATGGAAGGGGACCACCAAAAATTAACATTATATGGTAATGAGGAACTAAATAACTGATTTTTTTAAAGGGATACTAAAAAGTTAGAAAAATCAATATAGTGGATCAAAACTACATTTAAGTCTTTTTTTTAAAATGATAGACATAATTGTTATATAGGAATATAAATTAAAATATAAATATATATTGTGCTGGTATGAGACGAAGTGAGTAGGAGTGACAAACATGTATGTCCGGCTAATTTAGGCCCGTTCCACAAAGCTTGCATAAAAGTAGGATATGACAGACACATTTGAGAGTGTGAGTCCAAAACCTTGTCCCGCCCCACAAAAAATGAGGGTGGGGCGGGTCCACGAGCATTGCACATTTTAATCTTAAAATTTGCAAATTTCATGTTAACTTTTGTGCCCGCAAAAGTCCGAACCTTGGATCCTCCTGCGAAAAAGTGCAAGTAAAATAGACATGCTCGACGGCCGAACCCATTTCGCCTCCCAAAAAAATTAGTACTAAAGTGTCCATACCCGCACTCATACTCACTTATTTTAGAATTTAATTATCCAAGCTCATATTCGTATCTATTTTACAAATTTTTATCCTATCCATAATAAATATTTTTTTACGAATATCCACTTAAAATGGGTGAAATTGTCAATTCTAATTATGAAATTAAAATGAACCCAAATAAAGATATGAAACTAAATTTATTTTCAAATTCGGAAATATTTAGTGGATATAATCAAAGTAACTTAAGTTATTTGTTGAGATATTTATCCCCAATAAGAAATCACTTTTAAGTATGAAAAATCACCTTTAATATTTATATTAGTTACGAAAATTGGTTTGTTTGTATAAAAATGTTAATATGTACCACATATGAATAATAACAACAAAAAAAAACTAAATGAAATAACTTTTAAAACAAGTAAAAATATTAAACTTAGCAAAAAAAAGGTTAAAAATAAATTATTAATGATACCAAAAAACTAAATAAATATGAATTAAAAAGTTAAATAAAATATGTCAAACAAATTTTTTTTGGAGTTAAAAAATGCATTAAATTTATTAAAACAAAAATAATTATTATTTTTAAAATTAAATGAATCATTTAATGGTCAAGAACTGATTTGCTGTGCTAGGTCACTAAAGTAAAAATTAATTCTTTATTCAGTAAGAGTTTAAGAAAAAGATATACTAAAAAATTAAATTTGAATTGCGTATGTTTCACAAAATCATAACAGAATTAGAAAAGATACTATAATTTTGATTATTGTCCAATAAAAAAAAAGATTCTATAAAACCGTTTTCCGAATAAAAATCAAATACTATCACTTACCTATACTCCTTGATTTCTATATAAATAGTAGTTAAACCTAAATCAAAGTATCTCACACTCTAAGTTTTATAGTCTTCTCTTTTCACATAACTTTGTTGATTTCGCAGCCACAATTCAAGTTTTTTTCATGGTAACAATCTTCTTCTATTATAGTATTTGTTATTTTATTTTTTATTTGTCTATGTTTTTCTATTTGTCTCAGATTTTGATCTGAATTTTCACGTATGCATATTTTTTTGTAGTTTTTTTTTAATTGCCTTTGTAAAAATAGTATCTTTATATGAATTTTGATCATAGTTGATTTTTCCAACACAAACCTTAGCAACATTTTGATTCTCAAGGTTTTAATCATTGTCGTGTCATATGTTTAATATTGTGGAGAGTTTGTAGTTAAAGTAGACCTAAATCAAAGTGGAATCATGGCTTAGGAAATTGAAAACCCTAAATTATAAAACTTAAAAAAAAAATATTATGTTCATTTTTGTTCTCCAAAAACAGACCAGGTTTTAATATTGTGGAGAATTTCACTTAAGGTGTATCTCTTTTCCAACACGTCGTAGTGTTGTGTTCTGTCTGGTATTTGTGTCTGTTTCAATTGTTATTACTATAATGTTGATTTAATCTGTATTTTGATACCAGATGCCAAGTGTTACACCAAATCCGTCCGACAGAGACTCGGAGCCATTTGTCGAAACTGATCCGACTGGAAGATATGGAAGATACGCTGAACTCCTAGGATCAGGTGCTGTGAAAAAGGTATTCAGAGCATTTGATCAAGAAGAAGGAATAGAAGTAGCTTGGAATCAAGTTAAGCTCAGAAACTTCAGTAATGACCCTGCAATGGTGGATAGGCTTTACTCTGAAGTGAGGTTGCTTAGAAGCATGACAAACAAGAACATCATTGCCCTTTATAGTGTCTGGAGAGATGAGAAACATAACACACTGAATTTCATTACTGAGGTTTGCACAAGTGGGAATTTGAGGGAGTATAGGAAGAAGCATAAACATGTTTCTGTTAGGGCTTTGAAAAAGTGGTCTAGGCAGATTTTGGAAGGGTTGAACTATTTGCATGTTCATGATCCTTGTATCATTCATAGAGACCTCAATTGCAGCAATGTTTTTGTCAATGGAAATACTGGCCAGGTAAAAAAAAAATTCCCCTTTCTAATTTTGAAGTTAGTTTCAATTACGACAAAATAGAAACCCGACACAACACAACATCAACACATGAATAATTTAAAAAAATGAATAAATTAAACGTAATCACATGTATCGGTGTTGTGTCGGATATTAACACTTGTCAGACACCAGAAACACTTTTGTTTTGTTGAGAGGTGTCAGTGTTACATAATTTTTTTGGTTTTTTATGAATATTAAGTTAAAGATTGGTCAACATTAGACACATAATTGTTCAGAGTTATCTATGTTTTTTCAGACACTAACACATGTTAGACACTAGACACTTATACAAATTAAACATCAGACACACATTTATTTAAAAGTGTTGGTGCTAAATTGATGAGATGACATGATATGTTTTGTCATTAGTAATATTTTGTTGTTGTGAATGTTAGGTTAAGATTGGAGACTTAGGATTGGCAGCAATTGTGGGAAAGACCCATTCAGCACATTCAGTATTGGGGACACCAGAGTTTATGGCACCAGAATTATATGAAGAGAATTACACAGAAATGGTAGACATATACTCATTTGGAATGTGTGTATTAGAGATGGTGACACTAGAGATTCCATATAGTGAATGTGACAATGTTGCAAAGATATACAAAAAGGTTTCTTCAGGTGTGAGACCTCAATCCTTAAACAAGATTAAAGATGCAGAGGTTAAGGCTTTCATTGAAAACTGTCTTGCTAAACCAAGGGCTAGACCTTCTGCTCAAGAATTGCTCAAGGATCCTTTCTTTGATGTTTTAGATGATGACGAAATTGATAATGATGATTATAACTCAGTTATTTTGTGATTAGCAGTTACATCATTTTTTTCCTTGTAAATAACTTTGTAGAATTTGATGACCATGAATGAAAATGATATCGTTGATTTTTATTTTTTACTCATTAGGATTTGATGATAACTATGAAATCGGATAAAGGTTGGATATAGATGAACACGAATGGGGCACTTGGTTTGAGTCGTTTATATTCTTCTATATTGGGCCGTTGAATTTGACAAGTGTGTAAGATATGTAACGTGGGAATTGGATTGTTATTAATCATCATTAAATAAAACTAACATTACAATATTTTTATGCTAATCTTAACATTTTGAATAATGTTATTTTTACCTTTAAATCTTACGCCAATACTTATATTTAATATTATTTAGTCTTTATATGATGAATAATATTTTTTAATAAAAAATATATTTATTAACAATAATATATTTATTATTTAAATATATATATTTTTAAAAAATTATATTTTTTTAATAGTAAAATAAAATTGATTAATAAAATAATAAAATTAATTAATAAACGCTCAAATATTAAAAATAATTTTATTAGTAAAAAAAGTTAATATTAAGGTGGTAAAATGGATTGTGACCCGTCGGACCGGCACACACACCCGCTAAAAAATAACGGGTTTGATTGAGATTTTGGACCTTCCGCCTATCAAAGTCTGTTCCTCTAAAGACCGTCGCCTGCAAATGTTTGTCCGCTAAAGTCCGCCGCACCTATTCGTTTAGTTTGTTCCACTTTAAATCTATCATTTTTAATTAATTTTAGTAGGTCCAATTCTGGATGATTTTATTTTATATATTTATTTGTGAATATATAAAAAAAAAATTAAATTTGTTAAAAAAATATTTTATAAAGAATTATTCTAAAAAATAAGTGAAAAATCTAATTGAAATGTAAAAAAAAAACTTTTTAATATATTAAAAAAATAAAAAATAAAATAAAAAAATAAAAAAGTAAGCGGGTAAGTCTGCCACACGCTAATCTGCCACTTTGACAGAACAAGTTTATTTTTATGTCCATTTCAACTTAACGAATTTGTCTGCGCCGCTCTTTTTTTAGTGCGCTTAAACTGGGACAGAGTGAACGACTCGTTTTGTCACCCCTAATTAATATAAAATAAAAAATTAATTAATAAAATATTAAAGTTAGTTAATAAACATTCAGATATCATAAATAATTTTTAATAGTAAAACAAAATTTGTTAATAAAATGTAAAATGATGGTTAGTGAAGTTATGAAGTTGATTAATAAACGGTCAAATAATTTTTAATATTAAATTATTTTTTATATTTTAATATTTATTAACCAACTTCATTATTTTATTAATTAAATTTTTATATTTTATTAACTAATTTTATTTTATTATTAAAAAATAAAATAAAAATAATTAAAAGATATTATTATAATAATATATTAGTGTTCATAAATATATTTTTTATTTAAAAAATATTATTTACCACATAAATACACTGAATAGAATTAAATATAAATATTGATATAAGATTTGGATGTAAAAATACAGTACTCCGACATTTTTCATCCATAAGTAATTGTAATTTAATTGAATGGTATGCACGCATAACCATTTAATCTATATTTTCCTTTTAAATTTTAAATATTGAATTTTTTTTAAGATAATGATCAAGTTGTGAATCTCATGTTTTTTTTTCTTCAAATGCCACCCATTTAATTAACTTTCTTAAGATGTAGACCATTTTGAAGACATGATCTATAAGAGAGAGAGAGAGAGATAACCTCTTTGTTCATCTCTATATTCTTAAATATATCTCTACTCTAAGAAAAATGTTGAATGTTGAAGGTAGAATTTCATTACCTATTTTATAAACTCGATCATTATCAACCTAACAAAGGGAATATCGTGCAATTCATATTAAAAATGAAAAATGATTAAAGTGATTAGGATTGAGCTAGTGGTGATGAATTTGGGTAGTTTGCATGAGGTCATAAATCTAAATCTCATTGAACCATTGTACTCTTACTTAAAAAAATAAATAGAAATTGACTCGAATTATAATAATATCATTTGAAGTTTGAAACCAGATTACTTTCACAATGCACTGTACATTTGATGAAAATTTTGGATGCCTTCCCCTTCATTTCAATGCACTTAAATGGTAATTAAGTTTTTGGTACAACTCGCAAGGCCACGATGAAAGGTCTAATAAACAAGAATTACACGCAAGAGCACTGAAACAACCAACAGAAATCATCAAAGATAAGAATTCAATGAAGTCGCCATCGAAAGTCTTTTATCCCACGGGATAGAAAAGGTAAACATCGAGAAAACCTGAAGGGATGAAATCACGATCTTGCGATCATAGAAATCGGGTAAGGAAGTCGGTTACGTAAGGAGAAGGTATTAGTACCCCACACGTCTGTAGTATCCTACAGGATCCACTTATGTTTGTTCTAATCTAAGGGTGTGAAATTCTATGTCTGAAGCTTAAAAGCTAAAAAGATATAAGAGGGGGAATACATGCAAAAGGAAAAAGAAAATAATGTAGGGAAAATAAAAAAATTGTGCTCGTTCGGGCCCGACCTCAATACCTACATATCCCTTTTAAGGAATCAGAGCAGCCACAGTTCGGCTTCAGAAGTATTGTTGGTTTGTATTTTTTAATGAACAATATTAATTTCGCCTTCTGCCGCAACTCGACCTTTGGAGACTTACGCGTCAGCATAAAAGTGAATTAACATGTTCTTTTGAAAAGAGTTTTGAAATAAAAGCCCAAAGGAAAAAGAGTTTGTGTTGGTTGGTGTTTTTGCTACAGATAACAGCTAGTTGATCTCAAGAGAGAGATATTAGTCATTTCTCCACTTATTTATGAAATATGTCTTTGAGACTTGAATCATACCACAACTTAGAATGGAGAAGCAATAAGATCGAAAAGAAACCTGCTTATCATTTCCCAAGTTCAACAAAGATATGATTCTCGTCAGTAATTTTTAAAGTATTTTGAATTTTGCCAGAAAAAGAAGTTTTGTTTTAAATGCAAGGATGTAAAAGGAAAAGAAAAGTATAAGGGGAGACTAACCTAAATCTATCCCTAATGTTATCATACAATGATTGATTCTATAGTTGGAGTTTTGAAGTGAAATCTCTATCCTATGTTGGCATACATGGATATAAGCCTAGGGTCTATTCAATTCACACTTGCAGTAGAGTGAATTGAAAACTTAAGGGGATCATACAAGAAGTGAGTCTACTTAGAGAAGAAGAAGAAAGAGATGGCTAAGCATCAAGATTAGTCAACACTATCAAACAAAACAAGGGATGAAAATATTAAGCACGATAAGAGAGGTGGATAAGAAGTAACCATGCTTGGATAAGAGAGAACGGTGCTTGAGGTATGAGAGAATGAGGAAGGATATGATCAAACCCTAAATTTCTAAACTCAAGCAAAGGGTCAAGATGAAACCTTAATATGCTCCCTAATCAAAATTAATTTGGGAATAAAGTTTGTAAATATAAGCCAATTAAAACCTAAATTTCTAAAAACTTGTAAAAATTAGAAATATGATTAATACTCCTTGGATTTAATTGAGGAATTAGAAATGATTAGGAATTATTAGGACTAATTAATAAAATGGTCAAGCTAGAGAGTTTTAATATAACATTTGTGGGAAAATGCAAATTTAAGAGTAAAAAATTAACAAAAATGAATTTTATGATTTTAAAGCATCCAAGGAAATTTAACATATTTTCTATGATTTTTTCAAGTAGAGGAAATTAGGGTTTTCAAAATCTCCTTCTAGGCTAAGCAAAAGAAAAGTCCAAAACTATTGTTAATTTCTAAAATTTAGAAAAATAGGAAAATTAAGATGTAAATTCAATTAAAAAATATAGTAAATTGGTTTAATATTTAAGGGTTAGTAAAATTATTTTTATGGAATTTTTTTGTTAGAGGAAGATACCAAAAGAAAATTATTTTTACACAATACCCAAAAAAAAGTAAAGAAAACAAGATATTATCAAAGATTGATTTTATTTTCTTATCACGAATTTTAAAAAATCAAACAAAAATTATTTCCATGAAGTATGTTAAAAATGGAATCTAATATATTTTTTTTTTGGGATTTTTATGTTAGTAAAAATTAGAAAATAAAATTTTAAAGCCTAAAAATGATTAAAATCCTAATTAAACTAATTGAATTATTTAATCATGAAAAAATGAAATAAAAATTCATAATGTAAAAATATACTAAAAAAGAAGTTTAGAATATTTTTGTGATGATTTTTGAATTAATAAAAATATTAAAAACAAATTAAAGAAAACAAATAAAATTGAATGAAAACTCAAATAAAATGAGATATACTACACCTGCTCCAAACAGAAAGCGCTGTAAAAGAAAATTAAACCATGTTCAATTGAGTAATGCCACATAATCATCCCTGTAACTAATCCCTGCCCTAAGCGTGTTTTCTCAGTTTTTGCATTGATTTCAAATCTTAATATCTCCTTCGATTCTTGATGAAAACGCACGAATTTGCAACCAAGTTAAAGATCCCATGAAGTAGATCATCATAGGATCAAGAATTTTCAAAAATGATTCATCAAGCATGGAGAAAATCGTGCGCGAAAATCACTGAAATCAACATATTCTTTAACTTGCAAAAACATAATTCAACCATGCTACTTCAGATCCATTGATCTCTCTTATTTCTGAGCCAAATCACTTGATTCAAACATCAAAGTTTATTATGAAAATGCAAAGAACAACAAGATGAACATAGATTTCACAACTAATGCAAGATTAAACATAAATATGAGCATGAAAGCATTGTTCCAATCAAAGTTCAATCAACTTGCAGAGAACGAATTCATCATCAAATCTCTCACGTCCATACTTCAGATCTAAGATCCGACCAGTTAGCATGATTAAAACAAGATCTACATTGCAGATTCACGATGAAATGATTAATGTGAAGTTCATGAAATCTTACCTCAAGTAGTGAAAAGTAAATTCACTAGGTGCCTCTG